GTGTGTGTGTGTGTGTGTGTGTGTGTGTGTGTGTGTGTGTGTGTGTGTGTGTGTGTGTGTGTGTGTGGTGTTCAGGAAAACTGATCGGGCCAAATGTTCCTCTGTTAAGTGACAAAATGCCCCGAGGTGTTTCAGCTCAAACACACAGCTGGACGAGGTGGAGACACTTGGGACTCTGTGGTGTCAGGACATCTGCAGCGAGGGGTACCATCCGATCGGACCACCTCTGTCCGATCGGACCACCTCTGTCTGACCTGGACCACTTTGTCTGACCAGACCTTTATGTTTGAACCACCTCTGTCTGATCAGAACCCTTTTATCTGATCAAACCACTTTTGCCTGAACCAGACCACTTCAGTCTGACCAGACCCCCTGTGCCTAATCGGACCACTTCAGTCCGTCTAATTAGAAGACGTTTTTCTTGCTGGACCCACTCGGACTGACTGGATCCCTTCTGTCCAACRGGATCATCTTTGTCTATTAAAAGTTACTTTGTTAGTTTTAAATTCTGAACAGAAACGTCTCAGAAATCTTTGCGTGGACTCTGACTCCAGGATCAGTTTTTTCGTGAAATCCTGTTCGTGACGCCAATTGCGAAATGAATTAATACTTCCTGTTTCAAAATAAAAAGAAACAAAAGAGTTACGAAGAGTTGTGTGAGTTTTTATTATAAAGACAGGTTTGTTAAGCAGACTGAAGGACCAGTTTTTACGGTCAGTCTTAAACACGGGGTGGTCTCAAGTGGTCTGTCGTGCTATGGCGAAGCCCGACATTTTTCTCAGGGGTGGCCAGGAAAATTGTATCATTTTTTACTTGAAAGTTTCTGCAGATCTTTGTGTTTTGGTCATTTCCTTATATCCTTATACAGGCAGTGATTACCTTACAAACATGGGGTCAGAACCATTTTAAGAGTGACCAGACACACTGTTTGGGGGTCTGGGGGTCCTCTCCCAGAAACTTTTGGACGAAATAGATGCCATTTTCTGCATTCTGGTGTATTTTACCAGGTTCTTAAACATACTAATACATACATAAATAAACACTTGATTTAATTATTTCAGAGACAGATTCTTCATTAATCTGGTTTCATCATCCTGTTTTAATCTCACTGCTACAGCTGAGATAAGATTAATTAATGTGACAGAGTTTATCATATCTAATGACTTTAGGAGTGCTTTTTATTTTTGAATAATTATTGATTTATTTTAATTGTAACATGTCATTGTGCCAAATAAGGATGACCCTCAACTGCACGTTTAAAACTAACTTTATAAATTTTACCCAATGAATTTAGTGAATTTAGAGGGGTGTTTCACTTTTTCTGATTTAGTATAGGTCTACTAAACACAGAGCATCATGTAGCCTTCATAACATAAAACGACACTGTTATGGTGACAAAAAACAAAACAAAAAACAAAACAAAAACATTTGTCACCATAAGTACAAAAGTTGACACCATAAATCAGATTACAGGCGTAAGTTCTGTACATAAAGAAAACATCACTTCCTTGTCCTTACTCTTCTTCAGTGATAGAGTTTGGTGATGTTTCAAACTGTTAAACACTGCCACCAACTGTTCAGGAGGATTATCACACCCGTAAAGGTTGTTTCACTGTGGTGTGTGTGTGTG